TAATCGGAACGGATGAAAAAGGAAAGTTGGAAGTTTATTTAGGAACGTAGGGAGTAATATATAATGTAATTCAAACTAAAAGGTTAGAAGTGTTGCCAAAAGTACAAAAACATAATGAGGACTAAGGCGCTAATTCATTATTTTAATTTCAATGTTTTGACATTTGTGTTTGATATAAAAGTCAAACATATAAGTGCTCTAAACAATTATTTATTTATTTTGTGTTATTGTAAATTATGTAAAACGGCGGTTAAATATTCTTAATATATCAAAATCTCATCGTGAGAAGGTGCTCTAAATATATTTAGAAACTATTAATATATTTAATTGTACATGAATACAAATTATCAAAAATATGATTAAATATCATATGACATAATTTCATTGCTTTTAATAGTGCACAACTTTTAAAATTTTGATATTGGTTTAAATATTTTTTTTTTGAGCAAAATCAACTTAAATAGCATTAATCAAATCATGATGAAGTACATGGGTAATAAAATCAGGCAGATTACAGAGTCAAATAGGACGATCAATCATAAAACAAGCCACCCTTGGGAAGGTATGAGCAGCCTCGTTCATAGAATGCTTGGCATGGGAGTAGGTAATGCTAGCAAAATGCACCCCAATTATTCTAATATCCTCTGCTAAGAGTCTCTGCGATGAACAACTAGATCCCTTGATATTTTCTGAAATAGCATGTGAAGAATCGGATTCAACATCAACGAACTGCCACACTTAAAGATAAAAGTGCCACCCCCTCCAAAGAAAAAAACATATTAATAAAGTAGTCGATAATAATTATGTCAATTTCACCGTGTTGTTTATCCCACCGGCCACCTTCCAGCTTAAACCCCTCCACCCTATTTTCCCTTCTTCGCCATTTGACCGCATATATGAAAGTATCTAGCATTCATATCCACCCGTGCGTTGCACGAATAATAAATTATATTTATTTATTTTTGAAAATAATTCATACTATGAGTAATGTGTATGATGGAATATATGGCCCAGGACCCCCCGGTCCACACACTCATGCCACCTCAACAGACCCAACAACCACAACTGGCCCAAAAAATGATAAGTTCGTATTTCAACACACATTTGATGTGTGTTGGGATTGATTTTTGCCTCTTTTCCTCATCTAAATGAGTCACAAAGCGTTTAATTAGCTCAAGTCGCGGTTTACCGGGGTTGGTTCACGTTTGTTGTTTTTAGAAGCGAAACTCAGGATTGGAATTTCAACCCGACATCGGCGTTGGGGAATAATTTGGGAGGATTTGAGACGCGTTTGAAAGATGAAAAGAGGCATTAGAGATCCACGAGATGATTAAGGAGCATATTTAGAGTCAAAAGAAGTCAAAGAATGAAGGTGGGATCAATCGGGATCGAACAGAGAAGAAAAGAGTAAGAAAACAGTCCCAAAGAGGTCTCGCGCCCCGCGCACCAAGGTCGCACACCGCACAGATGATTTAGAGAGCATGTTATCCGGAAATCTGAACCGCACGGCGCATGCCCCGCACACGCCCCGCGCGCGAGTCCGCACGCCGCATGGTTCGGGACATAGCTGCAGGGAGGTCCACACGCCGCCGGATTGGCGTACAAATTTGATGGAAGCTTTAGTGTGGAGGTCCGCGTTGTTGTCAGTATGTTGTGCGGACGACCCCGCAGACCGAATTTTGCCCACTTTTTTTGTTTTCTAAAAATACACTCTGTTTTTTGTGTGTTTTTCATTATGAGCTTAGAGAAATAAACCCTAGAACGATTTTTGAGAGCTTTTCAAGCCTTGAATTATCAAGATTTTGGGATTGTTTGTAAGTTCAATCTTTTTAATTAATGACAATTAATTCTTTCCTCCTCAATTCTATTGTTAATTCGATTATGAATTGTGAATAGTTTTAAGTAGGGATTTGGGATTGATGAAGGGGTTAATCATGATCTAGGTTTAATTTCTTGATGGTTTAATTGAATGATCTTTATTTAATTTGTGTTTGAATAATTTAATAGATATCTTTTGTTACCTGGAACGGCCGCTAGGATTATAATTGCACATATAATAAATTAAGAGAGATCTAATTTGTTCTAGGATACTTTCACATACACTTAATCGTTCGCTAAGAGAATAGTAACGATTAGGGAGCCCCGTACACTTGCTCGTTTTGACAATAATTTAGGAACTTTGTCGCATGAGAGATTAGTCTAGTGCCCTTAATTATTGTACTCTACGCCACAAGAGCGGTAAGAACTTAGTATTGATCAGCGTTGCTCAATTACATAATTTTCACGTGATTAAGCCTGATCAACTTCGAAATCTGATTACCCCAAAATCAATCCATGTTCCCTTCCGTCATTAATTAGAAAGAACTCTTTAATTTAGCTGCTTAATCGCATTAGTTAATTTTCCAAAAATCCATTCTCGTACATCACATTCATTTTATTTATTTTAATCGCTAAATTTATTTAATTCCCGATTCCCTTTTCCGTCCCCGTGGAGACGATACTCGTAATAAACTCTTTACTATATTTTATTAGTGCGAGAAAACTCACATCAAACAACGACCGGACACCCCTCGGGCCCAAGCCTGAGTGCTTCAAACAACAGCGTCTCACAAGAGTACACCTCACACGTATGGCCCAGACCATTCTCGTCTTCGGGTGAGCCCTCGGGAAACAACCCTCGAATCCCGGAGATGAAGCCCTCGGCCCTGACACAATGAGCTTCCGGGCTCACACTTCCCAGCGTCCGACCACCGCATTTAATGATGCGCCACGTGCCCGCATTTGCGCCACATCGGTGCTCTCCGCCAAAGACTAGTTCACACATGTACATGCATTTAATGCATTCAACATTTATGACTGGGAAAACTATCAAATAAGCCCCCGTACTATACCGAAAAAGTCGATTAGGCCCTCGTACTTTACAAACACTCAATTAAGTCCTCGAACTATTAAAAAACGTTCAATTAAGCCCTTTTGGTGGGTAAGTAACCGATTTCCCGGTTAAACGACGACGATGGCGACGATGTGCTCGAACCCCAGCAACGACAGCTTCCGGGAAACAGGTTACATTTAACCGGGAAACCGGTAACTTACTGACCGAAAGGGCTTAATTGAACGTTTTTAATAGTTCGAGGACTTAATTGAGTGTTTGTAAAGTACGAGGGCCTAATCGACTTTTTCGATATAGTACGAGGGCTTATTTGATAGTTTTCCCTTTATGACTAGTATAAATAGCACCCCCTTGGGCAGTTGTAACGGTTTGAATATTTCATTAATACAATTGCTCCCTCTCCTACTTTATAACTATGTCTTCTCTCTACATACCACCAGTGGTATCTCAGTGTTAGCTATCTACCAGTGTACATACATACTTATCGTATAAAATTCAAAACATGGTCTAAAATTATAGGTTCCGTGTATGATAATTGCTAGAGATACGTTAATTAATATATAATTAAAAAATAAACATACATTCATCCTCAACTTATCTTGCCTAATGAGGATGATAACAATTAATATCATATCACAATTTCATACTTCATATCATTTAGTGATAATATAATTATGAAGGTGATTATATACAATATTTTCTACTATCTTTCGGGTACTTGATATATGTGATTATTATGAAAAATCATTTAACTTTTTATGAATAATAAAATGCATGTGTTTCAACTTGAAGTTCCTTGTGCTTTAAAGTTCTAAACATTTTCCATCTAGAAGTGAAAATATTTATTCTATAATATCTCTATTCATCAATCTCATCATATGTGTTATAACAACTACGGATACAAAGATAAATATGAGTACAAATCGTGCAATTAATAACATTATACACATTAAATACACATTAAACGAACCTAGTCATATTATTACTTGAGATGTGAACCTATTTTTTTTTTTAATTTCCATTTATGTATGTACTAGTGTTCCACTCGTGCGTTGCACGGGATATAATATGCAGATGCAATAAATGTTAATATATAAATGTATTAAGAAAATTATCTGTCAATATCACACGAATGGAAGCAAGCATAAATAAATACTCCGTAATACGGAGTTTATAATTTCAATAAGCATCAAAATTACAAAGCATTTAAGACTAGTTTGTGGATGACGTTTTTTTGGCAACTTAGAATTTTCTAAACGTCACATATCAAGAGCTTTAAACCACGCACACTTGTCACTCTCCAAACTACGATGTAAAACTGCTTGTACACAAAGAATGACATCTCAAGAAACACCCCTATTTTCAACAATTGCTCTTTATTGTTTTTCAGGGAACCACCTATATATGAATATGAAAGGGCTGAAGACTCCATCCATTGGGGTTAGACTAATCCAGGGAATGAAACTTTCTCACATCTATTTATACTTCGTATTACGTTACATTTCACATGTGCTTTGTGTGAGAAGCAATTTTTAATTATTAAATTGTTTTTAATGATATGGAATATGGTGGTAAATATTGAGGAAAAATTCTTCACCTTACCGGCTTACCCTTCATTTTCCCTAAACAACATGCCCTCAAAGTTTTCGGTCCGTATTCTCTCTAAACTCCCAAACAAACATACCCTAAATAAAATGAACAATGAAGGAAACTGTGTCCTAGTGGAGGTCTCGAGTTCGAAACCCGTTAGACATATTTAGGGAAGAGGAGAGAGGTAATGTTCTCAATGATTTTTCCTACCTTCATTGAGTTGCTCAGCGACAGAGAATGTATAGGATGCTAATGAAGGTAGCGACTTCGTGTGGTGGGAGGAGCAGCCTGAAAGATGACGTAAATTCTGCTGGATTCATCTTTTGAAACCAAGCTGATTGCGATCAAATCCGAATCTAAATGTTGAGAGTTTTGAAGATACTTCATGGACTTCAGTATTAGTGAACAAAACAAATGAAACAAATGAAGGAAACGTGTAGCCCGGTTGCGTACTTGCGTATATTCGCGGGCTGGGTACCTTTTTATGCTTATGCGGTACTGATGTCCGGAATATCCGCAGCTTCAAGATTCGGACTCATATGCTCTCTCTCTCTAGTAATTTGTCATACCTGTCTCAGTTCTCTTCAAGACTACAACTCTAGCTGAGTTTACTATTTTATGCTTATTTTGAACTCCTGTCTGCGAGGCTGGAAAGTCCAATACATTCTTCCAGGTCCATTCCCTACTTTCTTTTAACGCCTGTCTTAATGAATTTAATGTTGTGCGTTCTCCGTGTCTTGTATTCTGATTTATATCATTATGGATTATGGTATTATCTTTTCTTTAATGAATTCTCAAATTTTTATGGGTTTTATCTCGCACTTCAGATTGCCGAGAATTCCTTTAAAATATACTTGAAATCCGTTATTAAATTTAGAAAATGATTTTCCAATTTTCGGCAATTGCCACAAGATATAAATTTATTGATTTAGCCTTTTAGGGTACTTTAAAGTTTCTATTTTCTTCTATTTTTAAGAATGGAAACACAAGATGGCGGGGACCTATCAAAATTTAAAACTGCTTGGCTTGAATTTTGATCTTTTTTTAACTTCCTTACATGTTTTAAAGAAAACCCACAACGGGTTCATCAATTATTTAAGTATATTCACAGATGCACCTAAACTTAAACTATATTGCTGCAAGAAAGATTGGAGTTACATGGTCAAGTATCAGGGCAATTGTTAATGTCAAACTTTACATTTTTAGTTTGTTGGATAAGTTGAAGTATAGTCTCAATTATGTTTTGGGTAACCTTATATAAAAACATGAATGAAGTTCTAGAAATAGCACTGATGCATTTGCGGGCAGTGCATAACATTCCAATAAGACCTTTAATTGTTTTCCTCCTTAACCACAGATGTGGTGTGCCTACACTTTATTATCTTATATATTAACTTGTACGAGTATTAGCTTTATATATCATTTGATTTTCATAGACACTACTTATCCTTTGATCAAGTTTTTTTGAAATAAAGTTTTAACCATCAAAAGACACTCTTTTTATATCTAGGGATAGAGAGAATACGTTTTCATTATAATTAACTTCTAGTTCGTGATGCTCTAAAGAGGCTCTTTAAATTACTGATAAGGTCACCCACCATAAGGCCATAAGGGTCGAGTTTTGATTGTGAAAGAAATATAAATTGTTGGAATTTGGTGTACCGGAAGGTCTTGCAGGGTCAAATTTTGATTGTGTAGAGAACTAGAGGAATATGAAGACATATACTAGTATATATATGATATATGCATATTCTACTGAACTATCAGGGCATGGAAGCTTCATAGTTTATGAAGTAGAAGATAGAGTTAGTAAATAGGGTAATTTGCAACAAATCTTGCAATCAAAGCAGACCTTGAGCAGCCACAAATCTCTGCTCAATGTGTGGATACCTCAACAGCAACCAAGGTGGAAGGATATAAGTTATTTGATGGCCACAAATGCCTGCTTCTATCTTCCCTCTAAAGTACTACAAGCCCCTCTTTTAGTGCGTGGGGGAGTTCGGAACTGTGAGTCACTCATTGATGTGAATTGTTAGACTGTTGAGGTTCTATTGTACCCTTACCTTTATCCCATTATATGGCCATGATATGTCTATGTAACATTTCTTCAATGTTTCATATGTATGAGGATTAGACCATTATTAGTTATACTGCGCAGTCATATAAAACTCAATCTGTCCCTATTGTTTTTGCATGAAAAATAGGGAAACAAATGATACGTGATCACTTCCAAGTTTCCAATTTTTTCCCCTTTAAATGACCGGTAACCTTTATACTCCCTCCGTCCCATTGGACTTTGCCAACTTTCCCTTTTTGGTTGTCTCAAAAAACTTTGGCACTTCCCTATTAAAGCAACTAATTTGTGATTCTGCACATTTCTCTCTCCTCTGCACAAATCTCAACCACACAGTTTTTCCTATTCTTATTTCTCACATACTTTGCACTTCAAAGTCTACCGGGATGGAGGTAGTACATCTTTTTGCATATAGGTCAACATGTGAAATCACAAAAGCATAACTTTGATAAAGGTACTCCATATATGATTTATAGAGTCCAAATAGGCACTTAAAAATAACTGTTGGAGAAACCAAAAGGTAACTTGGACATATAAAATGGGGCGGATGGAGTGATATACTTTTGCATATCTGCTTCTATCTTGCGGAGAGGTGGCCCTGACTCTCACTGGACCCTTAATTACTTAATTGGTTTACAGATACTAGGGCCAATCTGGTTTATTTCCTGTTAGCCATGTTTATGATTTCCTCTCCATGCATATAACATGACACCAAAAATAGGGTTGTCATAAGAAATTGAAAGTTCTATTATTTCATATATACTTTTTGTCTTAGTGCTAAGCCATAGAAGTATTGAACCCTTCAATCCTTCGCATCTTCACATGAACCAAAATGTCATCACTTGTGTTGTGACATTAAAAAAAACTAAAGAAGGTTATTCTGTGAAACCAAAGTTATTAACTTATTACATTTGTATATCACTATATGATTTACTTTCTCCTTGAGCATAATCATGACTTCTACTGCACTTCGCAGTAGAGCATATGCATTTTCTTTCTAGAAACTAGTTATTTTTGTGATATGCATTTTTTAGAATTTCCGTATTTGTATATTAGTTAATTTCACATTTTCTAGGTTTCATTTGTCTGTAAGTAAATTGTGTTTTGTCTTCTGGCAGTGGTAAAGCACGTCAGTTGCTTGGCTTGTGGACTGTACGCTTTGGATCTTGTTGCTGGCAATCAGTCAAATCTTGACTGATTGCCACATGCAAAATGACCACCCAAATTGCTGTGAGTAGTAAAGCCTTGGAGGGAGTTCATGGGATACATCTTGTAACCCATTTGCCTTTGGTATTGGAGGAGCAAAAGCTACATGGGGACATTCATCTGTCAACCCATGAAAATTTGTCCATTGGAACAAGTCCCAGGGTTACTGTGCAGTGAGAATCATCTTCATTTGGTAATAGATCTTTTATAAATGTTATCTGACTTGTAATACCATTTTTTACCAGGAGAGTTTGGCAGCAAAGACCTGCATGCTTGAAGCCCATCCATTGCCATGCTAGCTGTAAGTTTAAGAAACTTTGGGGTTGCTTACTTTTAATTTAATGTCTTATATGGGACAATGAGTTAATCATCCAACCATCAAGTCATGTGTATTTACGACTTAGTAAAAACAAAATATTACTCCACTCTTTCGAACGTGTATTTATCGTTTTTTTATAAGAAACCATGGAATAGGTTTGTGACTGTATAATATTAAGTAAACTACTCTTTGGCAAAGCGTCTAAAAAAACAGCCATAAATTGGCGTTTTACCCTATCTAAAATGTTTATTCAGCACACAAAGTAAACATCCTCTAACACAAAGACCACCTGACAACTTAATACACATGAACTTGAAGGGAAAAAAGCTATGTTATTAGGACCGGACCGGGTGGGTCAGCCCGGAAACCGGTGGCCCGACACCAAAACCGGTCCGGTTACCATGTAACCTTCTAATCTAGCCATAACCGGAATGAACCGGTAGCCCGCTCAGACTCGAACCGGACCCGGAACGGCCAAGAACTGGAAAACCCGGGAATTGGCGGAAAAATCCAGCTCTAGTCAAAATTCACAGAACTAGGAATCGATCTGTGGTCGATAACTGGTGTTGAAATTTGAAAACGAGCGCACCAAACCGCAAGCCAACACAACAACTTGGCAAGTTGTTAATTTTTGTGTCTAAAGGGTTATTGTACCTTCAAAAACTTTTCTATATGCTATTATAACATGATAGTTTAAAATGTAATCGTTAATGTTTGATTAATATTTAATATACACAAATGCATATTATTTTACTTTAAGATCATATACATACAGTATTACAAATATATGTTAAAATATTTATACAATTTTAAGATTCTGCAATATGTGTTGTAATGTGTTATATATTTTCTTATTTTTTAGAAAGAAAATTGTGACTTAATTATTTTGTAGATTTAAAAAATAGATATCAATAACATTTTTTATTCAAATAGGATTGAAATTATATATTAGAATAATATGTATGTGTTATCAATGCTTACTAAGGATGTTTTTACTTGGACTGAAATTTGCTGGTCCGGTCTGAACTGGTTTGGTCTGGTAAATATCTTGTCTCTGTGTACTGTATTTTATAATTATCCAAGTCTGGTTTGGTCTGAACTGGTCTGGGACTGAAAACAGTCCAAGTAATACCATCCCATGTATTAAAAGTATTTGATTATTGTGAAAAATAAATACTTTTTTTTAAGTTTATATATTATTATATATTTATAGCTATACAATATTATAAACATTGGCCAGTTCTTCTCGAAAGAGACCGGGTTGATCCTCCGGGTCCAGGCTCACCTGTGACCTGGTTGGTCGGCCGTGCTGCTTCCTGGTCCGGTTCTGATAACATAGGAATAAAGAAGTGAACAGCCCATTTCATCACTTCCTGACTATGTATTGTGATTACTATTCTGTCACATGTGTCTCATATTCTTTTATCTGTTTTATGAAAGGTGATAAAAATCTTGCTGAAACAGTTGCGAATGTTCTTACTTCTCTTCCTTTTATTGCACTTGGCATCCTGACTCCAAGGTAAGATGCCTTTAAGGATGCTTTAGACCATTGTATGCTTTGCAATGTATGCACGTTCATCTTATATGCTATGATGCAGGAAAAACCTCAACTGCAAACTCTATGCAAATTCTTTGATAGGAGTAGGAATTGCCTCCACTGTGTACCATGCATCAAGAGGAAAGTTGAGAAACTTACTAAGGTGGGCTGACTACACAATGATTGCCACAGCGACATTGGTAAGTCTAGCAATTATAATCTGAAAAATAAGTGGATTTATGTCCCACTTTTCCTATCACATTGGTGCACCACTCATTGTGATTTGTTAATATTTAATTCCTATCACCGAGAGAGATAGAGAGGGAGGGATAAGGTGGGGCAGGGAGAGGCATGTGATTAGCACTAAAAGGGTAAACATGAAAGTGAATGAAATCTCTACTATTTTGTTCAAAAAGCGTACCAAACTCAAATTTATCCTACACGTTAGGATGGCAGGAGTAACGTCTAGCACTACCCGAATAATTTGTTATGCCCCTATTTTGTTCAAAAATCTCTACTATTTTGTTGAAAAAGTGTATTTTTATGCCCCTATCTGAACTGGTATGATGTTTTTGATGCTCATCTTAAAAGGGGATTGAAAAGGAAAGTTGGAGAAGGCTAAGGGGTAATAGCTGTAGTGATCTTCATGTTGTATTCTTAAATTTGTATATATTTGATATTTTACACGATCTTTTATTCCTGCTGTTTGCTAATAATCATTCATTCCAAGGGCAATATTAACGGTGAGTTCTTTTTGCAGTGTTTATCAAGGGCTGTTGGGAATGAGAGTCCAAAACTTTTTATGGCAGCATCTGCTGCTCTTTTACCCATCCAGCCTCTTATGGTTTCCGCAGTTCACACAGGGATGCTGGAGGTAAATATTTTCCATTTAATATGATACGTAGTATATGACAAGAAAGCTGAATTTAAACATATTTTTCTTCTCTTCTTCTGTTTTATTAAATACCCTATGAATGGGTTCATGAAATTTCCTAAATCCTGATTCCTAGTGTGTTTCTTGTACCGTGCCTTCCAAGCTTGTCGGCATGGTATGTATTGAGGATAATCTATCATCTAATATGATTAGTTTGAATTAGTTTGAATTTGCATTTCACTTCTAAAATGAGTTATTATTGATGTTTATTATGATGTATGCATCATGTTGAATCATATAAATATACTAAAATGTAGTGCTTTTTTTTCTTTTTTTTTAACCCGGAAGGCAAACCACCAAAATCAGTGGGGCAAATCAGCAAATGTCGGGGAACATTTGCTGATGATACTAAAATGTAGTGCTATAGAAATATAACAAGTCATAGTTTTAGAAGCATAGGGTTTCTCATTTTTATTGTGTTTAGACCCATTATTTCTCTATAAAGCCACTATAATTATCCTTCAAAGATATTGAATGGCCATCTGGATTTTAGTTTGAGAAAGCCAAAAATACTTTTTGAACTCTCAAATGTGCTTTTGACTTTCAAAAGCTGTTTTTAAAAAAAATCAAAAAGCATTCTCCGGATGTGCTTTTGGCTAAAATTGTGCTTGATATGAAGACAATTTTCAATTGCTTTTGACTTTTCAAACGGACTTTAGGGCAAAATTAACTCTTCTCATATTATACATACACACAATTTTCACATTGCTCAACTCTCTCTCTCTCTAATTTTTTTATTTCTCTCTCTCTCTCTCTCTCTCTATATATATATATATATATATAATTTTAATTATATATTTTTACCATTCTAACTTTATTAAACATATATTGGGCAACGAAATGTTTTGCAATTTGAAATCCGAACACTCAAAGGTGTAAGTTTTAAGTTAAAAATCATAAATATTCAGTAGAAACTCTAGCAATTTGTTTACCTGTTGTGAAAAATAAACGTGGGTCCATTTATGTTACAAATCTATTAAATAGCTCACAATCTCCCAATATTATGAAGATTAGGCATGTACACTTGAATTGTGTTTTATTAGGCAGGGTTCATTAATCATTTAAATACAAGGGCTTCTCAAATTAAGCGCGGGCAAGCTGTATGGAAAACTGTTTATGCTTTGTTTTTGCTGCCATTCTGAGCAAATAATATCAATGTTTCCATTTCCGAAGTTGTATTTCAATGTATTAAAACAAGTCAAGCCTCACAGTACACTGTACACAAATGATAAATCACATCCTTATTCAGTTATTGGTTACTCTTCATATATGTTGTAGTTTAACAAAAAAATCTCGCCTTCCAACAATGTTATGATTAATAAAGATTATTAGCTAGCTGGCTAGCTAACTTTGGTTTTACTGGGGGCAGGTAGCATTTGCTAAAAGAGCATTCCTTGATCCAGACCTCAGAATGGCACACAACGTGCACAAGTTGTCTTCGCTGTTTGGTGGGGCACTCTTCATCGCTGATGACCTGTTCCCAGAAACGCCATTTCTCCATGCCGGATGGCATCTTGCTGCTGCTGTTGGGGTCAGCGCCTGCAACAAGCTTCTCCACTAAGCTCTCTATCCCAAAAGCTTCCAATCAATTTGCCGAAATATCAGCTACCCTTTTTGTTATCAATGGAGATAGGCTTGCCGCATCCAATCTTGGATCAAAGGCTGCAATTCACTGGTCAGTGGTCTAGCAAGCTGGAATAATTAGTTAACATTTATAGCGCTATTTTAATGTGTGGGATTGAACAAATCCTTTTTGGCTATATCTGTGCTATAATGCATTATGTATGTGCTTTAAGGCAACCACTGTTGCCTTCTCATGGCATTTTACATAACACCGTTATTAAGAAGCACCAGACATTACATGGTTGAAATAATTCAAGAGCTTAATAATTAGATTAAGCTCATCGAGGAAATAATTAGTTTATTTCTAAAGGCTTTATCACTTATCTAATGGTGTTTGCTATCTGAGAAAAGTAAACTCATCACTAATACAAGTCTTAATTACTCTCTGTCTGTTGCTCTTCATATGTTTTTTAATTGTCGCTTCTATCTTGTAAGGGAATGATTTTGTGATTAATACTGTTTCACTTTTCTATGAAGAAGTGCAATCACATTTATTGATTTTCTTAAAAACTTTCCGAAGTCAAGTCAAATGTAGTTATCAATTGGGCTGGTACGATATAAGCTTAAATAGATATAGTCCCTCAGCCCCTAGTCTCATCACCTCATGCTTTTTGGTCACAAAAATTCAGAAATGGTGTTAAATTCTAGCTTTGTCCTGGTCACCTATTCATCACTTAGATGACCTGCCCTCCCCTTTCGAATCTTCACAACCACCTCCACCTTTTTATACCCATTTTTTAGCCTTCCCATGTGTATATCACTTAAAATCCTCAGGGATTGTCATGTGGCGGGTGGGGCAATACTGCAATAGATTAGGGGCGACTGCCTTAGGCCCAAAAATAGGCCCAATTTTTTCTGCATATATAGTGTGAGTAGGGATGGACTGGGCCGGGCCGAACTGGCCCGGAACCGGACCGGCCCGCTACTGTGCAGGCCCGGACCGGACCGGGCCCGGTTGGCCGGTTCCGGGCTTTTAGCCCGTGTGGGTGGGTCGGGCGGGTCGGGCGGGTCGGGCTCGGGCCCAGTTTTGGGCGAACCGGCTCGGCCCGGGTCCATCCATAAGTGTGAGTTATGGATGGACTCGGGGCGGGTCAATCGGCCCGTAACCGGCCTGGCTCGGTACTGTTTAGGTCAGCCCAGACCGTATTTTTTCAAGGCGGGCTCAGGGTCTCAAAAAAAATGAGACCGGTAGCTTTTCGTCCAGCCCAGACCGTATTTTTTCGGGGCGGGCTCCGGGTAGCTACCGGGTCCGGGTCGGGACTGGTACTGTTTTCGGCCGGCTCGGGCCCGGGCCATTTTTTTTGTTTTTCAAATTCTTTGGGAGGTAAATGGGTTGGGCTGAGTGTTTTGGAGGGGTTTGGGTATGGTTGGACTCGGGTCGGGCCACCCGGCCCGTGGACCGGCCTGTCCCACTACTATGCGGGACCGGGACCGGCCCGGTTCTCGGGTCCGGGTCCGGGTCGGGCCTAGGCCCGGGGGGTAGGACGGGTCCGGGCTCGGGTCTCAAATTTGATGAACCGGCCCGGCCGGGTCCGGGCCTGGGCCAAATTGATTTTTTTTATTGTTTTTCATTTTCGGGGTTCCACCCGGGTTGGGCTTGATGGGTAGGATGGGTTTGGGGGGGGTTTGGGAGGGTGGGGGTGAGGGGGGGGGGTAGGAAAGCAAAAAAAAATGAAAAATCCAAACCGGAGGCCCGGCTCGGACCCGGACCGGACCCGGTGGCAACTCGGCCCGGACCCGGACCGGACCCGGTGGCAACCCAGGCCGGTCCCGGGTCCACCATTCTTGAACCGCCGGCCCGCCCCGGACCCAGCCCGGACCCGAGTCCATCCCTAGGTTTGGGAGGTGGGGGTAGGAAGTAATTAGAAAACTAAAAAAATGTGAGTCCATGCCTAGTGTGAGTAGACTTCTTCTTTTTTAAGTTCAATTAATTAGGCCTAATGTTTAATTTTGTTGACAATTTCAGCAATATAAAACATAAGTAAAATGTCTTTAAGTTTTCAACAATTTCAACAATATAAAAAAGAATATACATTAATTTTAAGTACGATCCCGCCATCCCGGCCATGAAAATCCTACACGAATGTGTGCATGAGAGATATAGTTCAAATTGCACTCAGTTTCAAACTTGAATGGATACAAAATCGATACACAACCTTTTTGGTATGTTATATATAGTGTTTTTCTTTCATTATTTGTTTGGATTTACAAATATTTTACATGTCAAATGATTTACTAAGATGATATGAAATTACTTTTTGGAGCCTGCTTAGTTAGAGAGTATAATGTACTATCTTTACAGGAAAAGTCATAATCCTAAAATTAATTTGATGTTGTGGCTTCAGTCGATTTCTCTTGAAAGTGAGATAGGATAAATCTATATTGGTTGAACTTGTACTACTTGGACACGAAAAACATCACATATGCACGACCATATTCTAGGCTAAAGTTGTCCACAACAAGAAGTTTTCCCTCCTAATTAATTTGCATTGAATTTAAAATTGGAGGGAAATACAAATTTAAAACAATGAATGATCATATTTTTTAAAGTTACAACTACACTAAAGATCCGAGTTTCTGACATATGTGTCCTCCACATATAGATACATGTCTTCCTTGTAAATTTGTAATCGTCTTCTATTTTTGTCTGCATACTCATCTCCATCAGCTGTGCAGTTCCGCCACCTCCACCCATGCTAGAGTTTCAAGTCAGCTATCAACATCCTTCTCATCGTCAGAATTGGATTTTCCCTTCAATCTCTGTCTCAGGAACGATATATTCCAGAAATAGCATGGCATCGAGGGAGGAGTCTAGATATTCACAAGTGGGACTCTCTCGAAACACGATGGTATTCACATGATTTATTTAACGGAGACATATGTATTGTCATCGTCAAAAGAGAGAACATGCATCGAACAAAGAACGATGGGATAAGGAAAGGTGAGAGACGACGGAGGCTATAGAGTGAGAGACAGAGGCTACATACAAGTGAGAGACGAATGAGATGAAGATCTAGCTAGAATAATCAAGAGGTAAATGAGGGGACACCGGAAAACATAAGGGTAAATAGGGGAATAGAGTAACAAATGAAGAGTATATTAGCTATTTCATAATTAAATGTTTTGCAAATAAGGAAATGTGAACATCTTTTTGAGACATCCCAAAAAGGAAATATGGAACATCAAATTGGGACAGAGGGGATAATATATTACAAATGGTCCTCTACCTATTTCTTGCTCAACTTTATTTGATGACCTTAAGATCCTATGATGGACGATTGCTCGATTTATCTCTGTGTCATCTTTATTTGATGACTCGGACGACATATCATAGTGGGCTACTTGTTTAATCATCCCAGTCATCTTTACTTGATGAACCGAGGATCAAACGACGTGGAGGATGAAGTAGAGAGGTTGAGACTGACCGAATGAATATGAAGCCGAAGATAGAGAACAGACTAGACGCATTAGATCAAACGACCATTGCTCACATCAGAAGACCAGTCTCGACCATCACTTTAATTTGCAAATGGAAATGGTTGCAGCTGAATTCAGTGGCCAAAGGTAAGGGCTCACCCTTTTTACTTCAATTGGAAGGCATTTTGGTACTCTGTTCTCCCCACTAGGATTTTCCCCATTGGACTTATTCCTAGTGAGGTTTTTAACGTGACACCTCTCAATTATGAACAAAAGGTGACGACCCTAGACCTATAGAGGAGTCATCATGAGGCAATCACTGCTCTACTCTTCATCTCGATTACACTCGCCTCAAGGAGTGGGGCACTGTAGGAACGAAGGACTTAATGCCTCTGTGAACTGGAAAAACACAAACTCATCTTTTTAACCAATTAAAGATCGTCACACACATCGCCCACATTGTCACATCATATGAAGACTCAATTGCCACATGAAGTAGAAACATAAAGCCCTTGACCCAAGAATTGACCATGAATGTCATAGGTGTGTGACCTTTGGTTGAGGATTCTCCTATAGGATTGTCTCGGCCAAAGCTCGCCAATGAAATCAAATATGTACTCTGGCAATCCGGGTAAGGCGTCTTGACAACAATGGAAATCTATTCCACCATACAACAACAAACCAACACTGGAAGTATCAATACATAGCTCTAATCCCTTTTGGCTCGACCAAATATGAACTCTTGATAGAGTGTATGGACTCAGACCCAAATGTTACGACTATTGGGCTTGGACAATGATCCACTTACGCCTAGTAGGTAACATTTATTTTATTACACACTTTATATATCATTTGCACATGTTAGGATAACTTTTATACTCCCTCGTATCAAAATATTTGTCTTAACTTCCTTTTCGAGTTGTATCAAATTAATTATCTCATTTTCTTTTTTGAAAAGAAATCTACTCTAAAAATAGTTACAATGCACTTTAATAAAACATACAATATTGCTATAGTATCAAAAACCTCATTTTTTGTAAAGTCTACACTAATTATCTCAAACTACGTGAAAAATCAAATGATGTGGTTATTTTGATACGGAAGGAGTGTCATTTATTAGCCCGTTTTACATAATTGAGCTTGCTAGCCTAGACCCAACCTAATAGCCTAATCCAGATTTTCTTTATAAATAGTCTCTTTGGGAGCCATGTAAAGGAGGATTATTGATTATACATACACTAAGTTCTCTCTCTAGCCGTTAATGATAACATTGCAGTTAAAAGATTGAACAAGTCTTAAAAGTAAAAATGCATTGGACTTATTAAGAAAAATGAAGTAAATACCACCTCAAATTGAGTAGTGCAATTGCATTTACTAAGAAAAGTGTAGTTGTGTGAATTTGCAAGTGTGAATAAAGAAGAAATGGTTCAGATGTTTTTAATTGGATTAGTTTCAATTTTAAACCACCCCGGATCAATTCAGATCAGATTAAATCAAACCACACTTTGACTGTTGTAAAATGCACATAAACATATATCTATTAGATCAGACCAAACTAATTTAAACCAAACTTTAACAAATCAGATCAAATCAGAACAAAATAAATGAGAAAATTACACTCCAATTAAAAACATTATTAGAACTACACAAATATTATCAGCTTTTTCCCGCAATAATGCTAATTAAATAAATAATTCCCAAAATACTACTGGGTTAAAAATAATTCTCAAAATACTGTTGGGGTTAACCGTGGTTAAGGAAAGACGCCACTTCCAATGGTGGTTCTTCTCTTACAGTCAAAAGCCGCCACTTCGAGTGGTGGCTCTTTTGGCCAATAATTACCACACCAGCTTATTCAACCAAAAAGAACACAAAAATCTGCTCAGTACGTACTATACAGTCAATTAAGAAACATCAAACAATGGCTCTTTATAGTCAATATAGGTTGCTAAGAAACAAAACATATCTGAGACACAAAACAGAAATACAAATATCACATAAAGT